GTCATCTCATGAATGCATTAACTTAGCTGCTCTTCCATCCTCCCCACAGCTGCATCACACCCTACAGATGTTACTTCAGCACTTTCCAGAATGGCCCCATGTAGGGATCGGAAAACTTCCTCTTCCTTTTTCTGGACGTGCTGTGTTGTCGCCCTGTCACCCGAGCTCACAGCACAGCACGGCCGCTCATCCCTCGGCACAGCTCTTCCCGCAGCGCGGTGCTCCCGTGAGAACAGCACAGCCTCCTGCCTTCAGGAGCATGAGACGGCAGGGCAGCCAGCCTTGGGGCCATTTGGGACAGGGAAATCACTAACACGGAGCACAGAAACCGCAGAAAGGACCCTTGTTAGTCTGAGAGATGAGAAAAGCAGACAGAGCGCTGCCTCGTTTGAGCTCAGACGGGAACACACACGTCACCCAAGCCAAACTTCTTGCCACTCTGCACGTGTCTGTGAATGACCACAAAAGTGCCGTGACTATTGACTTTGGAGTTAAAAATAAATCTTAGCAAGTAGGGGAATTCCCAAATGCAGAATCCACGATTCATGAGACCGACTATATCCACCTATCTATACTTAAATGCTTTGCTTCCAAGAGGTGTTGAGCTCCCACCTCTCAGTGTGCCTAGACCGGGACTTGATTCTCTGTTAGAGAGGAATACCGTGAGTAAAGAATCAGGGGCTGGGGGTGGTGGCTCACGCCCGTAACCCCAGCAGTTTGGGAGGCAGAGGCCAGAGGACTGCTTGAGGCCACGAGTTAGAGACCAGCCTGGACAACATAGTAGGGCCTTATCTCTACAAAGAATAAAAAAATAATTAGCTGGGCGTGGTGGCGCCCATCTGTAGTCCCAGCTACTCAGAAGGCTGAGACAGGAGGTTCACTGGAGTCCGGGAGTTGGAGGCTACAGTGAGCTATGATCGCGCCACTGCACTGCAGCCTGGGAAACAGAATGAGACTTTGTCTCAAAAAAATAATAATAATAATAATCAGGGGTGGGCTCCCATTATATTGATGAATGTTTCAATTTTAGCTTTTACCTTTGATGAAAAATTTTATATGGTCACAGACTAAGCAGAGCCTGACTTCCGTGCCAGCATCTGGGGAGCTGGTTCTGCGCATCGTCATATCGCACATGTAGTCATAAGAGTGTAGCTGCTAAGAGCGTGCGTCGCGGAACCAGACTACTACCTGGATTGGAAACCTGCCTCTGTTACTTACTAGCCAATCACCTGGGAAAGCAGTTTTACCTGTTCGTGCCTCAGTTTTCTCGCCTATGAAATGGGTTATTGTGAGGTAAATGGCTGGACACACACGAACTATTATACTCAGCACAGTACCTGGGACCTGGAAAGGGCTCGGTAATGTTAGATTGTACCGACTGGCAGCGTTATTACAGATCCCCTCACACAGACACCCGTCCTATGCGCCGTATTTCCAGCTCTACCGTCATGGGCCAGAGCTCCATCCCTGGACACGGAACTGGGCAACTCCTAGGCTCTGAGACCCGGTAGTTTCCTGCTGTGCCAGGGCCAGCGAGTGACAGGCCATTTCCGGCTGCCCAAAGGAGAAGTTCTGTAAAGTGAACCAGACCCAGCAGCACAAGGCCCAAATCCTAACCCCACACGGCTCACACCAGAGACCAGGGTCAGGCTGCAGGGAGGGCCGCCATGGGAAGCTGGCAAGGCAGCACCGCCTCTGGAAGGAACAGGGCAGGCCACACGGGAGGAGGTGCTCACCACCTGCGGTGGGCTCTGGGCAATGAATGGGACTGAGAGGGGAAGACAGGGGTGAGAATTTCCAAACAGTGGGAACTCCATGAGCAAAGGGACAGAGGTGTCACTGTGCAGGGCTAATACCAGGAACTTCAGTGAGTCCTGGGCTTGCAGGGATGGCCATAGGGCAGGGGCCAGAGAGAGGGTCAGATGGCGGAGCACACTCTCTGCACGACGTCCAGCACACAACAGGCACTCAGCTCGGTTTGGAAGGACTAACTCCATGGGGGCAGAGGGCTATCTCTGGTAAGGACAGTCAGGCTTTTAAGAAGTAGGGGAGACATGCGCTAATGTGCGTTTAGGAGGGTAACTCCAGCAGCACCATGGGACTTGGTGTAGGTAGAAGACAGTAGAAGTCCAGGAGAGAGACAACAAGGGCCCAAGGCGGTGGCATCTATGGGGGGGATACCGGCATCAGCAGCAGTGACAGTGACAGTAATTGCCACTGTGTACTCAGTGGCTGCACATGGCGGCCCTGTGTGGGCCACGTGTACGAGCTTGCTCGGGTTGGAAGCTCGGGGCATCCTTCACTCCCGTCTTTCTCGCCCCTCACGTGCTGTCCGTCAGCGCGTCCTATCAGCCACTCCCCACCCCCTGCCGCGGCCTCGTCTCAGCCACCAGGACTCCCGGCCTGGAAGATTCCAGCACCGCGGCCTCCCAGCTGGTCTCTCCGCACCTTCCAGGCCCCTTCCTGACAGTCTATTTTCAACGCAGCAGACAGAGACCTTCGTACAATCCAACATCACGTCTCTCCTCTGCTCTACACCCTCTGAAGCCTCCCCTCTCACTCCAAATCACAGTCCAAGTCCCTCAAGTGACCCCCTCCCCCTCCCCCTTCCCACGACCTCTTTACTCTCCGGCCCGTCTGTCCAACTCCTTCCTCTCCAGCCCTGCAGACCAGTCTCCTGCCTCAGCGAGGACCAGCGCGGCAGCCACCCCTCTGCCTGGACGGCTCCTCCAGTCTTCCTGACAGCTGCCTCCCCTCCTCCGGAGCCTGGCTCAGATGCCACCTTCTCATTCCCCTTCCCTGACCCTGCTACGCGAGTTCAGACCACTGGTGACCCCCATCCCTTAACACCGCCCGTCGTCCACACACTGCGTGTTGGTTTGGTCTTCACTGCACCCCCCACTGGAACGGAGACTCCAAGGGGCGGAATCTCGGGTGTTTCACGGCCACGTCTCCAGCTCCCGAGTCGGAGCCTGGCTCGTGGGCAGTGCTTACGAAGCCTGAGCGGAATGGCTGCGGGACTCTCACTCCGTCCTCCCGAGACCTGTTCAGGGAAAGTGCTGTCGTCTCCAGGGGGAGCAGAGAGGGCTGGACTGTAAGATGCTGCACAGGGGACGTCACCAGACCCTGGCAACCTGTTGGGGGCACACTATTTGCGTGTCCTGTGTGCTGGGAGGAGGGGGGTCCTCAGGCCCGAGGTTTCAGGCTCCCCCTGTAGAGATGAACCTGTGGCCTCCCAGGGGATCTGTACCCTCAGGGAAGGCTCCTGTGACCTCTGCCTCCTCACAGTGGAGGCTCCGGTTCCGCCTCCTCCCTCAGGGCCATGTTGGGCAGAGGAAACGTGAATAAGAGGGGTGGGTGAGCCCAGGAGTCTCATATTTGATGCCTGGGAGCACTGGACTGTGAGTCCGGGGATCGGGTTCCAGTCCTGCCTCTGGTCCCCTGGCTGGGTTTCCCCAGGCAAGTCACTGTCCCTCTCTCGGCCTCACCACCATGTACGCGAGGAGTTATGGGGGTTCCACAAGGGAGAATTGTTTCATTCAGAGTCAACTGGAGCTTAAAGATGTTAAGACTCAAAACATGTAATCAAGAAACCAACGGTCCTTACCTCTCTGGGGTCTGTATCTAAATCGATCCCAAAAGAATTCTGTGAAGACAAAGGCAGAGGATGTGGGTGAGAAGCTTCCCGGGAGAAAGCTGATCTTTGTGGCTCTCACCAGAGGTGTCAGGTTCTCCCTCCTGGTGCCACCCTGGCAGGGCTAAGAGGAAGTGGGCAGGACACCAGCTCCAGGGGTGTGGGCATCAGTGAGGGAGGGGCAGGCATCCACAAGGGAAGGACAGGTCCTGGGGACAATGACCAGGGTGGCTGGAGCTCTGAAGAGGCCATCTGCCGTTGGTGCCTGCCCTGCCTGCCACCCATTTCCCTTCCTGTTCCCGATTTCCCTTTGGGGGACCTCCCTCTTCCCCTCTCTCATGCCATAAATTTGGGTATTTATATGCAACCCAGGGAGTTTCATCTCCCTAAACACAGATGTTATTTCAGGAATGGGCACTTACCCATGTCAGTCCAACACAGTATGCCTCAAAACTTTTGCTAGAATTATTGGGAAAGAGGATTTCTAAGCAGATAAGATATAAGGTCAGAGTGCTGTTGTCTCTGACCTTCCCAGGGGACAAATCTGCCTGAGAGTGAAGCCAACGCAGAGGAGTGCGAAACTGAGGGACAGAGAGGTAGATTCTC